TCTTTTTTCCAAATTTCACTTTTTCCATCAAATTATGACCTAGATCAAAACATAAGAGTAATGAGTGCATTTTTACATCAAATAATCATATGAAGGCAACAATTAAGAGAAGAAACTATCATATTTTACACTCTTATCACACCCCGAATGTAATGCATTAATTTTTTTTTTTAAAAAGTCAAAGATGCCAAGATTTAAAAAAAAAAAAATTCCAAAATGGTGAGGCGGTAAATTGGATTATATATCAATCCAATTCACATTTAAACAAATCAAAACCCATTCCATATTCAATACACAGAGAAACGAGAACAGTGAGAAAGAAAGAAGAAAAAAAAGAGGAAGAAGAACGGAAAAAAATAGAAAATTTTTGCCAACATGTTAGAAAATAAGTTCTTCTACTATTAGGCTTGAATTCTTCAAAGTTAAAGGTAAGTAAAAAGTTACTTATTGTCAAATTATGTTTAATTTTATAGCTGTTAGATTGTTATATTAAATTCAATTTTATTAAAGGGGTTAAGTATAATAAATTATGAAATTGAGTAAAATGAAAGAAAAATTAGTTTTAGTGATTAAATAGATATTAAAAATTGCTTAAACCTGAAATAATTAAGGTTGGTTATCGCCTATTTAATTATTGAAATTACTTAAAATAGTTAATGGTTGTCTTAAAAGTTATATTATATTTCAGGCGGCGATACGGCTATCGGGACAAGGTACCATTCGAGTTGATTTTGGTGTACATAGTTCTGTAAGTGGAAAAATATAGATATTTTTAAAGTATTTATAAATTAAGTATATTATCAAAATATGTGCAATTGTGTGTTCGATTATATGATTATTATGAAAATCTATTTTATTATGATACATGTGGAATTTCAAGGATTATTTATTGTACATTTGTGACTTGGTATATGAGACATGTGATATTGATATTTGTTTGGTACGTGAAACGTGATATTGTCATCGACCAGAAAAGTACCCGTGTACTTCTTCTAGTTCACAGAGGGGCCTTGGTCGTGTTCTATACTACACTGAGGGGTCGACTGGGGATGAAGGGGTTGTGACCATGTATATATAGTTCACTGAGGAGCCTTGACCGTGTTCTAGAATTGATTTTCAGAGATCTTGAGACCCGCTTTCGTTCACGGAGGGGCCAAAGGCCCGTAGCGAAGGTTCTTAGCCCGAGAGGCGGATTACAGATTTTAGTCAGAGGGTACATTTTTTGTGAATTTTCTAGTACATTTGATGTGATGAGATTATAGCACGATTACCAGTTTATATTTATATCATGACTTGAGATGATATTTTACCACGTTATGTGAATGTCTCACGTTTTGGCTATAATTATATGATGTTATCTTACGAATTATCAATGATATGAACCCGATTTTTGATAAAAATGTAAAAATAAAAAAGTATAATTATTTTCGAATTTCTCCACTTACTGAGCTATCAACTCATATATTTTCCCGTAATTTTCCTACAGGTGGAAATTGATTCTTTTTAACTGGAAGAACCAAATGATTTCAGAATGAGAGCCACACGACATGTTGAGTGTTATAATTCATATTGATGAAGCACGAAGTAAATAATCTGGGCCCACGCATTATATTTTACATAAGCATTAGATTTTGATGCATTCTTTTTTGTAACTCATAGTCAGTCTTGGTGATAGATTTGACATCTAGTCAGCTCTTATCATCGGCGCACGTCACGTTTTGGGTCCACAGGATGATTCGGGATGGATCGTGTCACCCAACTTGCTTATTGCTAGCCCTTAGCAACTCAATGCAGAACAAGCAAACAAATGATTAGATTATGATACAAATGAAATTATTAAGTTACATCTTAACTGCAATTCATGCTCTTTTCAAACTCTATACCACAAAACTTAACAATGCCATGATCGTCAAGCTATCAAAAACACTTGCCAAATATGTGAGTGTGTTTTAAGTCATAGCCATTTTACCGCCGACCCTAACACATGCAACATCAAGTATGTCTCGGGCTGAAGGTTCAACTTCACAACTCACGTGTATCAAAGTGTTTAATGCGATTTTATCTCTATGGAGCTGAAAAAGGGATACACTCAGAATCTGGAGGTTTAAATGTTTATGAATGAGCAACAAGCGAACATTGGTCTTACGATAGGCATAATGTCAACTGAAAATTCATCACTTTCTTACCATACATACTTGGGATCAAAACAATCAATGTAAAAGGTTTGTAATGTAGCGCAGGTTGGATTATATGAAAAGACGGATATAAAGATCTGGATACTTCCAAGTGCATAGCTAAGTATAAGAAGTCCAAAAGTCTTCAATGGAAAGGGCGATGCAGAAAATGAAAATAAAAGGAATGCAATGAATAGTGCAAGGAATAAACATAGAGAGAATGCATAAATTTAAAAAAGAAGGGAACGAATTCCCCTTGGGTTGCCTCCTAAGCAGCGCCTTTATTTATTGTCGTTGGCTCAACCCAATATTGTCTTCTTCAACCCGCATCCAGCCACGACGTTGTCAACCTTCGGCGCATTGCACTAAACTCATTGGAAGTAGTCACCGATGGTGTCCCAAAATCCTGAAAATCATCAAAAGTAGCATAAATATCAGCATATTCCCCATTATCATACCTTGTGGGAATTTCAGAATTTAAAAGGAAAGAATTTAAAAGGTTAGGGTCAATAAGGGCATGTGATTCCTCCTCGACGAGTGCATCAATCATATATGTTTGATGATACTCATCATCTTCCTCAGGCTGTTTCATAACGTGAAAGATGTTGACATCTAAGGTTATGTTCCGAAAAGATAGCTTCACTAAACCATTCCTGCAATTGATAAGAGCGTTAGCTATAGCAAGAAAATGTGAATCTTGGAGTTAACATTCATGATAAGTATAGTTTCTACACTTATTTGGGATCTTAAATGATGATATTTTGTTATTCTTTGAACGAATTAGTACCTGATTTGTTATTTATTGCTTTTATAAGGAAAAATTTATGTTTCAAAGAAGAATTGAAAAAAAGAACGGAAAATAGCTAAATGAAGCAAAGCCAAAGTATGGGGACCAAAGTGTAAATATTTAATGTTGATTTGGACCACGAAAGATACTTTGAAGATTGATAGGAGTCGATTGAATGCAAATTGGAGTCAAAAAGGAAATGGATGTGATTAGAATATTACCATAAATCGACTTCCAATCATATAGGATATTTTCAAGATTTTTGGTCAACTTGAAACCCATTTTTCGGATAGAGAAAATTTGAATTGGAAAATTTGTATTTCTAGAAGAATTGTAGATCTTTTAATTAGCTTTTCAATGCACTTTGAATCACCTGAATCTAACACCAAAAGAGAAAGTTATGATCAAAATACTGAAAGCTATGCAGAGACAAAATTATGTGTGCGCGAAAGCAACTTTCCTTATTTGATTCAAACTCTTTTGGAAGACAATTTGGATGTGAATTTTGACCTAATTTCATCATATAAATACAAGATATGGGCACAATGAAAGGGTCTCTCTCTTGCCTCTTCATACACAATAGTTTCATCAAATCCATCAAGAACAAAGGGCAAATTGCTATATTTTGAGAGGGAAGATCAAGCCATAGCAAGGAATTGAAGTTCAATTACATCAAGTTTTGAAGAATTCAACTTTGGACGTGAAGATCAACATCTTTTGTATTCTTTCATGATCCAGGTGATATTTTTCTATTATTTTTTTTGTAATTTATATATTAATATGCTAGGCTAGTTTTTCTTTGTATTGGATGAGATGAACCCTATTATTTATTTATTTTAATTCAAGACAAGTATTTAGTTTAATTCGTGTATTACTTGATTAATTTTGCATTCCCATTGCACTATTGAATTGTTTGGCCATCAATTGAATAGTTAGTTGCTTGTTACAGTGTAGGAATACTCACAATAAGTCTAGAACGCGGCAAAATTAACATGTATAGTTAGGATTAGGAATAATATCTATCATACATGCAATCATATTGATAACTTAAACTAAATGCATGATTTTCATATGAATTCGGACTAGGAATAGGATCGGGTCGTGTTAATCATAGGTTGGTGTATCTTGGAAAAGAACATTTAACATATTAGTGTTATCGATTGTCAAGAACTCGTGAAAGAAATTAGATTACGAATCAAGAATTGAAATAAATAGCAATAGATGGAGTCGAAATCCAATACAATTCTCCATAATTTGATAAAACCCCAATTTTTATCGCTTTCTTAGATTAGTTTAGTTTAAATCAAATCAAAATATTTATTTTGTTTTCATAACTAGAATTCTATAATAAACTAGTAAACTTGAATTAAATTTATTCTTTGTGGGACGATAACTCTTAACTCACTTATTATTACTTGTCAACGATCCGTACGCTTACGGGTATCACACAAACAAGTTTTTAGCGCTGTTGCCGGGGAATAAAGTTTTAGTATGAGTTTATTAGTTTACATTGGATTTGAATTTATTATTATTATTTATTTATTTATTTATTATTTTTGTTATTTTAGGCGTTAATCGTGATACCTAATTTCTTCTTATTTTACTCTTAAGGCTTTTACTAGATCTCGAAATCGGAAGGACCTTTAAACAACACTAAGAGAACTAAGAAGAACGAGGGTAATGGCTGAGAATCAAGACCAGATTCAAAATGCATTGCAGAATGCAGCACTTCGGGTTCAACAACCACCTCCAGCTCAGCCTATATTGGTTAAAGATTATGTGAATCCAGTACCTACATCGATTCAACCTCCTATTGTCTATCCACCATTCGGACAAGCAAACTTTCACATCCGACCAGATGTCATAAATATTTTCCAGAGTCATCAAGACATCAAGTTCAGCGGAAAAGCTACGGAAAATCCACACGAACATATTCAAGCTTTTACCATGCTTTGTGATGTCATTAGCCATGAGGGGATGTCACAAGATTCATTCTGAATGCGTTTATTCTCCCACACTTTGAATGAGGGTGCGAAAATATGGATGATGTTACAACCCCCGGGAGCATCATATCGTGGAATGACATGGTACAAAAATTTACCATGAAATTCTTCCCACCATCTCGAGTCCACCAAATCAGAAATGAAGTATATCTTTTTAAACAGAAGGATCATGAGACATATTCGGAAACATGGGACAAGTTCAAAAGTGCGTTTAGAAAATGTCCAAATCTTGATGTTCCTAAACTGGCACAAATATATCTATTCTATAATGGATTGCGCGCTGAATTTCGCAATATAGTTGATGCTTCTGCGGGTGGATCAATTTTGACTATCGAGGTGGATGAGCACATAATTTATTTGAGAGGATTGCTGAGAGTCAGGCCAACTGGCTAACAGATAGGGAAGCTCCGAGAAAAATAACTGGATTGCATAATGTGGACGCAGTGACAGCATTGACAGTGCAGATGGAAGCAATAACAAAGAAGCTTGATACTTTAACTCAATCTGTGCACGTGGTACAACATCCAACTCCGGTATGCGCAGGTTATGGGCAGATCACATCACTTCAAGCTGCCCTTTGGCTTCTACTCACATGGGTTAGTCAGCAGAGGTCAGTTATGCGAAGAACTATCAGAGGCTAAATGGATCTTACCCATACAACTACCATCTGGGTTTGAACAATCATCCTAACTATTCGTGGGTGGATAATCCAGATCAAGTAAATCAGATGAAGGATAATCCACCAGTAATTTTGCAACAGCAAGGTAAGAGGCAATCCTTGGAAGATCTACTGGTCACGTACATCACCAAGACTGAAACAGTAATGAAAAATTAATAGGCTTCCATACATAACCTAGAAAATCAGGTGGGACAGATAGCAGCTGCATTAGCCAACAGACCACAGGGTAACTTGTCGAATGACACAGAGAAGAACCCACGGGAGCAGGTATTTGTAGCTGAGGCGGTAAATTATGCAACTATTGAGCTCCCATCTACCACATCCACTATCCTTGTCAAAGCTTATGTGCCACCCATTCCATTTCCTCAAAAACTTCAACGCCAGCCAACAGCAGAGCAGGTTCAGGCCATCACTACTAGGAGTGGTGTTCAATTGCCAAAAATCACTGTAAAGAGGAAGGAGACTGAGAGAACTCAAATGCCTACTAAGGATAAGGAACCGATGGAGCAATCTGAAAAAGTAATAGAAAAGGACCAACAAACAGTTTCAGACAATCCACAGCTTAAGCCAAATGTTCATGGCACTTCACTGACACCTCTGGTCCCTTTTCCTCAAACGTTACAGAAGACCAAATTGGAGAAGCGAGATATGAAATTCCTGAAAATTCTCAAAAAGTTACATGTCAACATTCCATTCATTGACACTATCCTTCAAATTCCAAACTATTCTAAGTTTTTGAAGGAAATGCTGACTAAAAAGAGGAAGATGCCCAAGCATGAAACAATAATACTATCTGAAGACTGCAACGCGATCATCTAGCACAGGATCCCTCCCAAACTTAAAGATCCAGGGGGTTTCACTCGACCTTGCTCCATAGGAAACTTACAAGGTATTAATTGTTTAATTGATTCAGGAGCAAGTATTAACTTGATTCCTTTGCCTCTTTTCAGGAAATTGGGATTGGGAGATCCCAAGGCGGCTTCTATCATCCTTCAGCTGGCGGATCGAACATTGAAACATCCCTATGGAATAGTCGAGGACATGCTCATCAAGATGGGATAATTTATTTTTTCAGCTGACTTTATCATTCTAAACATAGAAGAGGCATCCCAAATTCGAATAATACTAGGAATGTCATTCCTGTCAACAAGTCGGGCATTACTTGATTTTGATACAAACGAGATAGTCCTGAGGGTGGAGGATAAGCAACAAAGCTTCGCCATGGAGAATCCAATCAAGTAACCATCATATTTTGAGGATTGTGAACGAGTTGATCATTGGAAGAGTTATAAAGGCCGGCCAGATATAGGTGGAAGTGTTGGTAGGGATAACAATGGAAACTTGATCATGTGTCGGATGAAAGAGAAAGAAAGAAGTGCAACCAGTGCTTAAAATGCAAGGCTGAAAATTCTCTTTTCAAGCCACCATGAAGAGCCTAAAAGCAACAAAGTCTAGCTAAAGACTATAAATTAAGCGCTTGTTGGGAGGCAACCCAATATTTCTATCCATTTTATTTTATTTTATTTTATTTTACTATAATTAGAATAGTTTAAGATAATTTAGATTAATTTTTATTTTAGGGACTCATCATCTATACCACGTTTTCTCTTAGGTCTTTGAGATTTAGTGGTTTATTAGATGTTCGGGCTAAGTAATACATGTTCTAGGTTATTTGATCTCTAATTTTCTATTTAACTGCCATATCCAGGAACATGATGTTGCAATAAACTCAATAGACCAAGGGGAAAACATGATGAAGGAGAATGTCTAACAGTTGCCCAAAGTGCGTTCTACGTTCAACAGGAAATCCGGGGAGTACCTTCTTTCTTTCATTCTCCGTCCCCTTACATTCTCAATTATGTTTTAAGACATTGAGGACAATGTCAAGTTTAAGTTTGAGGGTGGGAAAAACTTTTTGAGTATTTTATTTTTGTATGCTTTTGTGTGTTTCTTTAAAAAAAAAATTCATTAAAATTTCTATTTTTGTGCGTTAAAAAAAATTATCTATTTATTTATATTTGTTTGTTTGTGTGCTTGTGTGGGTTATACAGTTTGATTGACTATAATGATTAAATTTGTGGTTTGGTATTGATTTATGAACTGTGGATAAGATGTATGCTAAACTAATTGAAGCTCAACGTTGCAAGATTTGATATCATACATGCACTATAATTGAGTTTGACATTGTGATAAAATGAGTTGTTTCATATACTTGATAGGTTGATTTAATCAGACATAGACGCTTTACCCATACCATACAAATTATTTATCCTTAAACCAAATTTAGCACAGTTTGGGGGTGATTTTGCTATTGCAGAAAGATACGGATGTGAACAGAGATTCCATGTGTGAAAACTTATATATGGATTGTCTTAGACTAACAGGATAAAATTGGGTGAAAGTTTTGAGTTGAAGGTCGATTTGATTGAATAAGTGTATGATAAGGGGCATTGTACTAATCAAGGCATATATTTTGAAATTTAAAACTTCTCTCTAAAGCCTTTATGACTTGAGTATTTAAGCCTGCAAGGGTATCTTAAAACCTAATGCCCTAAAATCATCTGATTTGGGAGTCATCGGCCTAAAGCTCGTTACAGGGGTCATTTAGAAAGCAATCAGAGATGAAGTTGCACTTCAAAAAAAAATTGTTCTCTTTGAAGCCTTTTTAACTCGGGTTATTAAGCCTCTAAGGATATCTTAAAACCTGGTGCCCTAAAGTCATCGACCTAAAGCCTACTACAGGGGTCATCTAGAAAGCTTAATGGAGAGAAAAAAACTCCTAAAAATCAGAAAAAGCAAGTGCATAAAAAAAGCAGAAGCACTAAATACCTTGTTAAGTCCTAACACTTATTCGAGAAAATTTTACTTTCGATTAAAAATAATTAGCCTAATTGAGTCTTGGCGGTCGAAGCAATCAAATTAATTGAGAATCCTTGTTCATTGATGTATTGACTTGTAACTAGTGATGTCCACCTGAACTAGAGAGGGTAAGGATAGTAATGAAAAATTCATTCAACCTTAGATCAAATGTTGGGAAAATAGTGAAAAATAATAAATTTAGGGGTATGTGAATCTTATGAGAGATGAAAGGATATATTTGACCATAGAGGGTCGGGAATTGAAACAATTTGTGAAATCATTAATGTCTACTTAATTTTTCACACACACACGTCGATTTTGCATTGGAAGAGTGGATATTGGTTTGGTATTGTGACTTTGAAGCAGTTTATAGATTTAATACGGTGATCTCAAATTCTGTGGTAAAAAGCTAGATTGTCCAACCAAATATTTTTGCATGCTTGTATGTTTGTTATTATTTAGATTATATTGTTGTTTGAGGACAAACAAAGATTCAAGTTTGGGGGTTTGACAAGTGTAGTTTCTACACTTATTTGGGATCTTAAATGATGATATTTTGTTATTCTTTGAACGGATTAGTAACTGATTTGTTATTTATTGCTTTTATTAGGAAAAATTCATGTTTCAAAGAAGAATTGAAAAAAAGAACGGAAAATGGCTAAATGAAGCAAAGCCAAAGTATGGGGACCAAAGTGTAAATATTTAATGGTTGATTTGGACCACAAAAGATACTTTGAAGATTGATAGGAGTCGATTGAATGCAAATTGGAGTCAAAAAGGAAACGGATATGATTAGAATATTACTATAAATCGACTTCCAATCATATAGGATATTTTCAAGATTTTTGGTCAACTTGAGACCCATTTTTCGGGTGGAGAACGTTTGAATTGAAAATTTTTGTATTTCTAGAAGAATTGTAGTTATTTTAATTAGCTTTCCAATTCACTTTGAATCACTTGAATCGGACACCAAAAGAGAAAGTTGTGATCAAAATACTGAAAGTTGTATAAAGACAAAATTATGTGCACGCGAAGACAACTTTTCTTATTTGATTCAAACTCTTTTGGAAGACAATTTGGACGTGAATTTTGACCTAGTTTCATCATATAAATACAAGATATGGGCAGCAATGAAAGGGTCTCTCTCTTGCCTCTTCATACACAATAGTTTCATCAAATTCATCAAAAACAAGGGGCCAATTGCTATATTTTGAGATAGAAGATCAAGCTATAGCAAGGAATTGAAGTTCAATTACATCAAGTTTTGAAGAATTCAACTTTGGACGTAAAGATCAACATCTTTTGTATTCTTTCATGATCCGAGTAATATTTTTCTATTATTCTTCTTGTAATTTATATATTAATATGCTGGCTAGTTTTTCATTGTATTGGATGAGATGAACCCTATTATTTATTTAATTTAATTCAAGACAAGTATTTAGTTTAATTCTTGTGTTACTTGATTAATTTTGCATTCCCATTGCACTATTGAATTGTTTGGTCATCAATTGAATAGTTAGTTGCTTATTGTAGTATATGAATACTCACAACGAGTCTAGAATGTGGCAAAATTAACATGTATAGTTAGGATTAGGAATAATATCTATCATACATGCAATCATATTGATAACTTAAACTAAATGCATGATTTTCATATGAATTCGGACTAGGAATAGGATCGGGTCGTGTTAATCATAGGTTGGTGTATCTTGGAAAAGAACATTTAACATATTAGTGTTATCGATTGTCAAGAAGTCGTGAAAGAAATTAGATTACGAATCAAGAATTGAAATAAATAGCAATAGGCGGAGTCGAAATCCAATATAATCCTCCATAATTTGATAAAACCCCAATTTTTATTGCTTTCTTAGATTAGTTTAGTTTAAATCAAATCAAAATATTTATTTTGTTTTCATAACTAGAATTCCATAATAAATTAGTAAACTTGAATTAAATTTATTCTCTGTGGGACGATAACTCTTAACTCACTTATTATTACTTGTCAACGATCTCATACGCTTGCGGGTATCACACGAACAATTCACATCTACTTTCACATCGAAAACCAAAAAATCCACAGGGTAGCAAAATTTGTCAATCTGTACTAATATATCCTCAACTACCCCCTAGGTCTAATAGTGGACTGTTCAGCCAATTGTAGGACCACTGTAGTAGGTTTGATCTCACCTAGACCCTAACGTCGAGTATATAGTATAAAGCATGATGTTGACACTAGCCCCTAAGTCGAGGAGAGCTTGTGAAATCTCATGGCTATGCTACAAGAAACTATAGGACAACCAAGGTCCTTATACTTTGGGGGGACCTTTTGTTCAATTACGACACTCACATGTTCCGTCAAGAAGGTGGTTTTCTTGACATGGTGCTTCCTTTTTACAATACACAATTCCTTAATGACTTTAGCATATTGAAAATCACATGCAAGAAAGGTAGATTAACTTTTAATTGCTTGAGGTACTCTAGGATTTCACTGTGTTGACTAGCAGATTTTGAGGTCGACTTGAGGGCTTGAGGAAAGGGCACTCTAGACGGATTTTTCACTACCTTCTCATTAGGGGTGCTCTCTTCTATGCTACTGGAATCCTTATCACTTTCCCTAGGTTTGGGGGTTTATATGACTTTTTCAGATCTAGTGGTTATGGCATTCACTTTCTTCAAGTTTATATATATATTGGTCTCTCCTAATCCTGAAGTTTGTAACATGTGTTACCTCCTAGGGTTCGGTTGAGCTTGCATTGGGAATTTTTCATGCTCTCCTACAGCTAAGGCATTAGTTAGTTTAGACATATGAGATTTTATTTCCTTATTTTCTTCAACAATTTAGGTTATTATAGTCTCAAACTTTTGATTAGTCTTACTCTGTGCCTCTATAAATGCAGGTAGAGTGACTTCTAAAGAGTTTCCAGAGTACGTGGGCTGATATAGAGGTGCGGTGTGAGCTTTATTTGGTTGGCTTTTAGATTTTCAGCTGAGATTGGGATGACGAATTGCATGTTTCAGAAAAGGGAGAATAAGGCTTTTGGTATGTGCCTAAGACATTGCAGTGTTCCTCATAAAGTCTCACCATCTCAGCATAAGTAGCACACTCTTGTGCTAGATAATCAGTGCCACCACACACAAAACAAAACCCTTGAAACTCAACACGGGAAACAGCATTTGTAGATTTTGAATCCTTAGCAGGCAGG